AGCAAGCATTCTTTCAAACTACGACCATCAGCCATTGTTGACCAACCCAGTGTTCAGTTCAGTCTGCAATAAACAGCGGAAAAATACACAAAATAAAGTTTCGCTTTAAGGATTACGGTCCGGCCTATTAATGGCCGGAAAAAATTTTTAACAAACTTATCCCACCTTTCGTTTTAACTTTCTGGCTCTACTGACTCAGGCCGTGCCACATTTCAACTTTCGGGCTACGGACGCGCCACATTTTAACTTTCTGACTTCGGCCGTCCTGAAATTTTAACTTTCTGGCCCTGGCCGTGCCATGTTTTAACTTTCTGATTCCGGCTGTTCCACATTTTAACTTTCTGACTCTGGCTGTTCCACATTTTGATTTCTTTGGACTGTTTACTTGTTTTAAGATTACGGTGGCTCTTTAAAGGCCCCCAATTTATCATCCAATGGCAAGTGAAAGGGAATTGGATGCAGTGAGGTTCTAGAAGAAAAAAGAGGGGAAGCTACCAAATCAGCAGAAAACCCGGCTGTAGGGCTGTAAAAAACGTGGGGAAAAACTCGGGCCCACTTTTCCTTCTTCTTACTCAGATGCAAATAAACAACCATCTGCCCCTTCCCCATTTCCCACAGCATTCATTCTGGAATCATTGATGAAGGCCGTTTCGGAGATTGTAATGTGTGATATCTATTGCAGGAATACGGGCGATCTGATGAATCGAGGTCCGCGTGTATCTTCGGTATCATTCGTCCACGTCTGCCGTTTGAGTGCCTTTCATCAACCGATCTTTTCAAACCAGTACTGATTATTCGTCGATAACCCATTCTGTTCAGTGCCAGTGTCTCATACAATGAACTACCCTTTTTTCTCTGGTTCAGCCTAGGACCCCAACTGGTTCCTTCGATCCATCGACACATTCATACGCAGTACCAGAAGTAACACACTTTTCAACTGTTAGAAACCAAGCATCAAAATTGATCGTGACTCAATCGTCCCCTCTCTCGAGTTTAAGGGCTACCGGCACGTTGGGCCGGCAAAGGAAAAACTGTTAGCTGCATGGAAATCAGACAATGAAAACAGCTGTGCAAAACAGTTCAGACGTGGAAAAAATTTATTAATTTAAAACTGAAATAACAAAAATACCGATTAAACCTAATCTTTTCCATTAAACCTCTTTCACAACCTCTTGCCTTTTCTTTAGGCCGTTGCATCTGCCCCCCTCCCCCGCTCGCCTGTCCCCTCAAATTTAGATTTTTTTCCTCCAGACGGGGTTCACAACTCAACAAAAACGATGTTTCACCTCTCCTCCCTTGTCCGTACGTTGCTGGCTTTCACGCACCCTGCTAATGCTCTTATATACTACCAGATGTAAGGCCTATTTTTTCGAGATTTCCCGGTACCTGGCATTATCTTATCCAGTAGCAATTAACTGATGTATCAAGCGGATTGCAGCATTCAGGCTGACCCTAGAAGTGCAGATAGTGAAGGTGCGAAGGAATTCAGGAGAAAAACAATTTTGAAAAATAGAATAACAGTCTCATATTCAATATTTCACTTTTAGTGAATTTAAATCTCAACGGCAAAACCACCGGCTGGCAGGGGGTCGTCGATAGCTTCTTTTTTCGAAAGCTGCTTAAAACTCAAGAAAATGATGGTTCAACAAAGGCAGCAGCAAAAAACAAACGAAACAGCTACGATAAACATGAAAACGAAGCCTGTGAGATAAACATGATAAACAAAGCCTACGAGATAAACATGAAAAACAAAGCTTATGAGAGAAACGTGAAAAACATCGCCGAAACAGCAAAATCAATCGTCATTTCTACTTCCTGGATAGTACATCCGATCACGATCCATATCCGGATTTCGTCTCTTTCTCGAGCCCTGCGAAGTGTACGACGAATCACTGCCAGAATTCCTCCAACCTTCCCATCCACCACGCTGCCTGCCAGCTCTCCATGGACGTCGTTGGCCACCACTACCGCTGAAGCAATTTTTAGCATCACTAAGCTGAAGGGCCGGTTTTAGTAATTATATGAAGAGAACATCGTGTGCCCTTTCCAAAAATCATCAGATTATTATTTGCCAAAAAAATAGTCCGCGCACACATACACACACACGCACACACAAATACATACATACACACATACATACACACATATACACGCAAAAATATAGCAGTCATACTTAAGCTGTTAATGTGAGGCCTACGATGTTACGATGTGATGTAGTGGGTGCCAAGCGGAAGCGAAAAAAAAATTTTAGCAAAAAATTTTAGCGAAAATTTTAGCAAAAAAAAGCAAAAAAAAATTTTAGAGGCAAAAATTAGAAATTTATCAAGCTCTGACGATCTAAGAAAATTAGAATTTTGCAGTGACCGAGAAAAGAAGTAAAGGAGCAAAGAAAATTACCGAGAATATCTGTTATTGAAGGATCGTTTTGGTCTTGGATTCCATGGATATAGAACTATAGGATCCGGGAAACCACTTGCAACTTCTGCATAAAGGACATTATCCTAAAAGTTACAGCTTCAGTTACATTGATATTTTATTATAATAACTTGGACATAATTTGTCAAATGCAACATTAAGGTAGTTCATGAATACTTTCGGTCCATTAAGAGTCGTATACATTTCTTACCTTCCACAACTGGACCTCGAGTGGTTCAGATCGTTCCCTGGCAGCACTTACAGTCGCTATATTTGGGGTTTTTTTTTCATACAGTCACTTGGGTTTCTAAGTTGCCCACCGCTCTCAGGTTACCGAACTGCCGCGTCCGAAGGAGTTACCGATCCAAAAGATACATTAAAAATCACGGAAATACCATCGTATAACGATCAGCGAACATCCGGTCCAGTTCATCGGCAGTTCGTTGATTGACAAAATCTGTCAGATCAGGAAAATCTTCGTCCCCTGTAAGTATTGAAAATACTACAGAAACAAAGAAGTTTTTGTAGATAAATTTCAAAATGTCGATGTACCGCTATGCCAAAATTTCAAAAAAAAACCCCCTCAATGCGAGCGAAAGGGAAAAAAGACTTATCGTATGTTTGATGATTTCCGTGAGCTTTCCCAATACAATGAACCACATTCCGAGTCGGAAAGGGAAGGGTAAGTTCGGGAAAAGTTCCTAATTTCTATAACTCCAAGCTGCCACCGTACAATGTTTTGAAACTCAAAAACAATCACCATTTCATTTCTAATCACATCATTACATATCACAGAGAGAGGAATTCGTGTCAGGAGACAGGACATTTGCATATCACATGGAATCGAACGGCAACTGGGCAAAGCAAAAGGGTTTAGCTGGCAGCTTCGTTTCCTTGCTATTAACACCTTGTTCCAGTTGCAACATAGCAAGTGGGAAAGTTGCCAGCTGCGTAGCTGGAGAAGTACACTCCATAAATTACAGCTGACAACTGAAGTAAATATCACACACATTTCCGGAAAC